GATAATCCCAGTATCACCCAAAGAAAACTGTATTGGCTGCCTCCATAAGAAGTCTTTGCACCTCAGAACATGGCCAGCTCTTGGTTCATGTAAGGCTTTGACCAAGTTCATCCTGCTTTGCCAAAATTCACTTCAGAGCGCATCCCAAACACTCCTGCAACCATACATACAAAACAAGGGAAGAGCAGCAGTGATGAGCAAACTCTGCCATTACGGTTCCTCCCCAGTTCAGTTTTGAAAACCTCTGCCCCAGAAGAACTGGCAGTCCCACACTGAAATAACAAATAGAGGAAAAGGGGAAACATGTTCCTGAGCTGAATGATAAACATTGGAGAAAGCACAAACCATTCTTCAAAAATCTATCCAACTGTCGTTTCTTGGAATCAGAAATCTTTGCTCCCGTGGCTATTCATAGAACATAGAAGTAAGTGATCAGATTTAATGGAGGACAAAAGGGACGTATACATTTGTCTTATCCCCATGGTAAAGGTAAAGGGACCCCTGACCATTAGGTCCAGTCGTGACCGACTCTGGGGTTGCAGCGCTCATCTCGCTTTATTGGCCGAGGGAGCCGGCGTGCAGCTTCTGGGTCATGTGGCCAGCATGACTAAGCCGCTTCTGGCGAACCAGAGCAGCGCACGGAAATGCTGTTTACCTTCCCGCCGGAGCAGTACCTATTTATCTACTTGCACTTTGACATGCTTTCGAACTGCTAGGTTGGCAGGAGCAGGGACCGAACAACGGGAGCTCACCCCGTCACGGGGATTCAAACTGCTGACCTTCTGATCGACGAGTCCTAGGCACTGTGGTTTAACCCACAGTGCCACCCGCGTCCCTATCCCCATGGTAATGAGGCCCAAACGTTCAGGAATAACTAAACCGGAAGGTATTTCCCAAGGGAGCTAGCTCAGCAAGCAGCTAAAGATAGAGTAATTAAGAACAACATTCTCTCACCAAATGGAGCACAAAAATAAGATGAACTCATCTCATCAAGGTCCTGTGTGACAGACCTGCCCCTCCACAGTCTCCATGTAGCCGTTAACAGAGGCCAACCAGTAGGAATGCCCAACATTCCATGGAGGTTATTATTACTCTCCCTCCAGCATCAAGCACATAGGAGCTACACAAGCTTTTCCAAGCATCACAATGAGCAGTCTTCAAAACATGGCTAACATTCATCCCCTTTAAAATCTTAGCTATTATAATCACCCCATGTGAAGGACTTGGTAACTTTGTAAACTCTTGTTGCAATTGACATTGATTGAGCAAAAGGACTGGGTAGTAATGACCTTCTTTGCCAATCTATTTGTTTACACATGAACAGTTTATTCAAAGTTGCCTATTCATGTAGCTGATCATACAGTCATACCTCGGGTTACAGACACTTCAGGTTGCGTTTTTTTGGGTTATGGACCCGGAAGTACTGGAACGGGTTACTTCTGGGTTTCGGCGGTCATGCATGCACAGAAGCGCTAAATCGTGCTTTGCGCATAAGTGCCAATTCGCAACCTGCACATGCGCAGACATGGGACTGCAGGTTGCGAACGTGCCTCCCGCACGGATCACATTCGCAGCCTGAGCGTCCACTGTATACATCATTGTCTGAAGTTCATTAGAACATACTTCCAGATAAATGTATGTAGAATTGCAACCCCAAAGTGGTGCATTTATTTATTATTTAGTACTAACTCCAGAACTGCTCAAGACTTAGCACTTCTTCCCAGAAGTTCAGCATGGCTGATCTGCCAGAAGGAAAGGGAAAATACTTTTAATATTTATTCTACTTATTATACAAGTGATGCTGATTCTTTCTTTTTTTGGCCAGTTCAAGAGAATGTTAGTTGGTATCCATTTGGCTCAGGAGACAATGGAAGACTGCTTTTGGAGGTGAAGACAAACCATTGGAGAGTTATAGCACATGGTGTGTCTCTAGAGACCAGTATGGGGAAGACATGTTTTGGATGCAGTTAGGGCAGATGAAGGTGTCTGGTTGTGCTGATGCATGTGTACCATGTAGTCTCTGCCATAGCGTTTTTTGGACAAATTGCTGTCATTTCCTGCCTTCATGAATACTGGTCCATAAGAAGCACCTCAATCTTGCTTTGCAGAATGGTTGCATTCTTTTATAAGAAAACTGTGGGATAACTAGCCTCATACAACCTGCATGCTTAAGTCTAATCAATGCATGAAAGTCTTAAAACCACAGAATAAGCTGTCACCCCTAGGCTTTTCTCACCTTGGGAGGGACTAAGTGATCCCCTTCAGTCTACCATAGAAGTTCAAAGTGTGAAAAGGTTTTGAGCTGGTTGCTACAGCTCAGACTGCATGGCCATTATTGTGTTCCTATACCAATAATTTAGGAACTTCCACTATTGCAACTAAATCAGGTTTTACTGCCTATGCAACATTTTCTGACTGCTGTATGGAAAAGCATATGAACTTGGCCTTTGGAGTTTATAAATATGCCATTATTACCTTACTTTTTTTTCTACACTGGGGAAAAGGGGAACTTTGGAAGGAATTTAGAAGGGCATATTTTAAAGGTCTAACAGTTTATACTTCCTTGCTTTGATGCACATTCTGTGATTTAAAATCTGTGCTGGGGTTCTTGCACCAAGAGTACGGTACTTGCCCAAACTGGATCTTGACATCCAGGAATTCTGTTTACATACCATTTTTTTCCTTGCCACCAACAAAAACAATAAGAAGCAATAATTGCACCTCACTGCTGCCGCCCATAAAACACCCTCATATTCCCAGCCTTGCCCAAGGGGGGGGGGATGAAAGCAAGGGACAGAGTCAGGCAAAAGCTGGAGATTCAATAGCAATTACTATTAAGCTTCTCTCTCTTTGTTGTTGTAGGAAAACCTGCACATACAACCTGTATGTGCAGTTTTTATTGTAATTACTGGTATGTTTTAAACAGATTTTATACGTGTATCTAGTTTTAATTCTATCAGTGTTTAGGGTTTTTTTATTATTAGTTTTTCTACGTTTTTAGCAGCTCTTTAGCAGAGAAAAAGGTGGGGTATGAATATAATAATAGTAACAGTAGCACCACCAGCAGCGCCCCTCGGGGGCCTTTCTGGGGCTCCTTGGCCCCGCGGCCTTCCGGCCCGAGGCCCCTCCTGGCCGCGGGGCGAGTTCGCGCAGGACTAGCGCCTTAACCGAAAGCGCCGTTGAGACGCCGAGCTTACGTCACCTTCGGCAGCGCCGCCTCGCTCGCTCGCTCCCGGCCAGGAATCTCCTCCTCGGGCGTCGCCGCTCGGCTCCGGGGCGGGAGAGGGACCCCGTTCCTGGCTCCTCGCGCCTGCCGGGGCGCGCGCGCGCGTGTCTTTGGCAAGCGCCGCCTGCCTCTTCGGGACGCGGCCTCTTCGCCCTCCGCCCGGCTCCGCCGCCGCCGCCTTTTCCTTCGTCCGTCCCGGTTGTTTGAATTTGGCGCCCGGAGAGCTCGGTCCGCGTCACGTGTCGCGCCGGGACCAATCGGCATCGGGGCAGAAGAGCGGAGAACGTCAGGGTGCCTAGAGCGGGGCGGGGCGGGGCTTCGGCGGGCTGTGGGCGGAGAGAGGGGGCTTCGGCGGGATCCCTCCGAGATCGCGGTGCGTCTGGCGGCGCTGCGCCCAAGCGGGGGGGGAGGCGGGCTCGGGGAGGGGGCCGCGGCAGGACCCTCTAAGGAGGCTGCGGGCCACATGCTCAGCCGAAACAAGGAAAGGGGCCGGGAGAGATCGGGGGGTTTGGGCTGGGTGGCCATCAATATGCGGATGGTACCCAGCTCTGCCTCTCTTTCCAATCAGAACCAGTGAAGGTCCTCTGTGAGTGCCTGGAGGCGGTTGGAGGATGGATGGCGGCTAATGGATTGAGGTTGAATCCTGACAAGACAGAAGTACTGTTTTTGGGGGACAGGCTGGTGTGGAGGACTCCCTGGTCCTGAATGAGGTAACTGTGCCCCTGAAGGACCAGGTGCGCAGCCTGGGAGTCATTTTGGACTCGCAGCTGTCCATGGAGGCACAGGTTAATTCTGTATCCAGGGCAGCTGTCTACCAGCTCCACCTGGTACGCAGGATGAGACCCTACCTGCCTGCGGACTGTCTCGCCAGAGTGGTGCATGCTCTAGTTATCTCCCGCTTGGACTGCTGCAGTGCGCTCTGTGTGGGGCTACCTTTGAAGGTGACACGGAAACTGCAATTAATCCAGAATGCGGCAGCCAGACTGGTGACTGGGGGCGGCCGCCGAGACCACAGAACACCAGTCTTGAAAGACCTACATTGGCTCCCAATACGTTTCCGAGCACAATTCAAGGTGTTGGTGCTGACCTTTAAAGCCCTAAACGGCCTCGGACCTGTATACCTGAAGGAGCGTCTCCACCCCCATCGTTCTGCCCGGACATTGAGGTCCAGTGCCAAGGACCTACTGGTGGTTCCCTCCCTGCAAGGTTCCAGGGAACCAGGCAGAGAGCTTTCTTGGTGGTGGTGCCCACCCTGTGGAACGCCCTCCCATCAGATGTCAAAGAGAAAAATAACTACCCAACTTTTAGAAGACATCTGAAGGCAGCCCTGTTTAGGGAAGCTTTTAATGTTTAATAGGTTATTGTATTTTAGTGTTTTGTTGGAAGCCGCCCAGAGGGCTGGGGGGATCCAGCCAGATGGGCGGGGTATGAATAATAAATTATTATTATTATTATTAGCAGGGTTGCCAGGGAACTGAGGGAGGGCAGATGGGTTGGAGAGGGGCCCCCCTCGGTTTCTTTTTAAAAAGTTAAGAATCGGGAGCATAGCTGTCAACTTTTTCCTTTTTTTAAGGGAAATTCCCTTATTCCGAATAGGATTCCTCGCAAGAAAAGGGAGAAGTTGACAGCTATGATCAGGAGGCACCCCAGGGAGGGAGGTCCACCGTATTAAAGATAAATTCATTTTTGTGGAGATTGTTGTGCTTGAGCTAGAACGCAAGAAGATCTCAAGCAAACAATCGATGGCAGAAGCGCACTGTTTTTCTCTCTGCAGGTCTAGAAGCAGATTGTCCATTCGGTTTTTCCCCGCTGACATCGGGGGACACCATGAAGCTGAACATTTTATTCGAAGCTGTTGATGCCTCCAAAGAGGAGGCGTGTGAGCAAAGGATGGAAAGGAGAGCTCTTGTTCACTGAGGCCCCCAAAGAGGGGCTTGTGTACCCCTATGGGGCTCCACTTCATCCAGGGGGCAGTCCAAGATGTGTACCCACCAAACCAGTAAATCAGATTGGGAGTACTTGGGTATGGTCTTCTTGTCTTTTCCTTTATATTGTGGGGATGTACTGTTAGTGCACAACTGCAGCGCTTGCTTGGTGTCCTCACTGTTTTCTGTGCTCTGTGTTCAAAAGCTCACTATCCTGCCCTTGCCTTGCAAAATAAGACCACAAGTTATTATTATTCTTTTTTTTAAGCTTGTCTGCCCATATTTCCATGGAAAACACAGCTCTTGTTAATTATTCTTATCTCTCTTTACCTGTACAACTATCGCTTTAGATTATTTTGGCCTACAAAATAGTTTAAAACTGTTCATACCCCCAAATTCTCTTTCAGTCCTGGAGACAGTTATTTCAGTGGAATTCTGTTCCTAAAACATTTCAAACTTGACTCTGTTTCAACATTTGTATCAGAAGTAGGTTCTTGACCACTAAGCAGATGCCGTAAAAAACGGCTGAGTATTTTATGGTGCTGTGGGAAACTGATTTTGTAACTGTCTGTCTGGAAATTGCCAACAGAAGACAAGAAAGAGCTTGGCTTGCAGCTATGAAACCATTATGGTGCTTATTTTGATCATAATTCTGGCAGTTTGGTGCCTTACTTCTCTTCATGAGAGGGAAATAATAAATAAAATAATAACGTAACAATTGCATGCACATTTACTTGGATGTAACCTCTTGAATCCAGTGAGTTACTTTTGAGAAAATATGCATAGGATTACTGTAAATCACATGCATGAGATTTGGTTTTGTTTTTTAAAATCTGGATATTTAGAAAATGAATATAAATACAATATAATGTTTGCACAATCCTTTCTAGCAATTTCCAAAGAGGGATTGGCTATCAATGAGAAAATGGTATCGGTAATCGGAGCTGATAAGCCAATCCCTACCTCTGCCCACTTATTCATGGCTCCACTCTTGTACTTCCATTTTGTGACTGAGTAATTCTTAGTCCTCTTACATGGGCCCTGGGGGTAGAAGGTTTGGAAACCCTTGATTTAGAATATGCATAGCAAAGGGTTAAATGAAGCATTTATCCATCATTTGCTAATTTCTTACACTGCCTTCAACTGTAATATGGGGATAATACAGACTTATGTTTTCAGAACTATTGCAAGGATTACTAAGAGTGTACATTAAGGTATTTGAAATAGGGATGCTTGTGTTAGCTTATTATTATTGCTTATTTTTCTCAGATAATTCCACAGTTTGAGAGTGCCAGATCACTGGGTCTCCAGAGCTGGTGCCACGGTTCCCCAAACGTGAAAATAAAGGATACCAACCATGCCATCCCTGTGGTGGCAGGAAGGCGTTGGAGGCCTGCAGCCTGCAAGTTTTCTCCACTAATGTTTGAGAATGCAAAAACAGAATCCTGTGCTGTGGGGACTTCAGAACACCCTTTGGACTTTGGTGGACAAGCAGGAAACTTTGAGACATGCTGTAACCAGCCAAGGGCTCTTTCTACTCCAGCTTCCATCAGCCCTACAAGCAATTCTAGGGCTGGGATGGAAAATCCTTGTCCCTGCCCCTTATCTCCTTATGCTGACCCGGTTGCATTCAGCCCACCAGAGAGATGCACTCCAGAACAGCCCTCCATTGAGGCCCATCATTATTGTCTGCCCCAGATGGATAGCTTTACTCCTGGCCCATTTAGTAATCATGTTGGTGAGGATATTTCTAATGACTTTGAGGCTACATCTGTGCTGGTCAAGGACACTCCTGAGGACGAATACGGAGTTAAGGTAACATGGCGGAGTCGATCTCTCTTAATGAAATACCTCAGAGAAAAAGGAATGCTGAGCACCAGGGACGTCTTAGTGAAGACACAAATGAGTGCAGTGCTTAGTGGGGCTGAAGATAGCCAATAGTTTAAAATAGTTTTGAAAGATCAATCTCTATTTGTGGTGTGTTCATCCAGTCCAAACAGATTTTGCAGGTCATTATAGTTTAAAAAATGCAAACGTGTTTGCCTAGAAGTGACAGCTGGATACCAAAAGCAGCAATGCCTCTGTCAAAAACTGCTTTCAGTACTTCTAAACCTGGAGTGGAAAAATAGATTGAACAAAACGTTTTTGTGTATGATAAACTGTCTAAATAATTTGAGAAGGTGGTATACTTGCAAGATAAAGCACAGGGGCATTTTATAAATCAATCAAACCAAAAAGGTCTGGTGTTTCTGGAAAGACATTCCTTATCGTACCTCCCCTAGTTTAGATGAATACAGTACCAAGTTATTTCTGTATTCAATGACTTCACTACTGATCTCTGCCATGACTTCAGTATGGAGACAGCCAGCAGTGTTGTACAGTCTTTACTGCCTCTATTATGCTTCATGTAGGAAATTACCCTGATTTACTTACAGCAGTGCTGGAAGGAATTACTTGTTCATACTTTTGTGCCTTTGCTGCTCTTGGAAAGAGGGGGGGGCATGGGGGAAATGCCTCTTTATATTTTTCATTAGACCAGTCAACACAGACATGTTTTGGGTTATCTCATTCTTTGTATATATTCACGGAGGATGCTTCATGCAGATTTTCTATATAAAAGCTATTTCATTTTATGATTAATTGCTTCATCCTTCAGCAAAATTAGTCTGTGGGACAGTATGGTGTAAAACAACATAGCTTTTGGTTCTGGAGGACAGGAGTTTGCATAGCTGGGGGAGCCCAAGCACCTTTTATTTATTCAGTCAGGGGCAGGCGGGCAAGGAGTCAATATGAACTTAAAACATGGAACCCCATCCCACATATTTACCACTCCCTATAACATCATACAGAGCTTAGTGCTTATTTTGTGTTTGTTTAAAAAATACCCTAATAAAAGCATTGTCCTGTCAGTGTGGTTATTAAAAAATGCAGTGACAAACATTTTATTAATAAAGCAGTTTGCTTTACAACTTAATTTTTGTGGCCCTTTAAATCACAAAATCCTAAATTATTTCCTCAGGCCAAGTGTTTGGCATGCTGCTTTATGGTGGTGAGTCATCAATAACTTACATTCACCAGAAGCAACAGCTCAGTGCCTTCCACATGCACTGCATCAGGAAGCACCTTAGAGACCAACTAAGTTTTTTTATTGGTATGAGCTTTCGTATCTGAAGAAGTGTGCATGCACACGAAAGTTCAATAACAAACTTAGTTGTTCTCTAAGGTGCAGGTGGCACTGTGGGTTAAACCACAGAGCCTAGGACTTGCCGATCAGAAGGTCGGCAGTTCGAATCCCCGAGACGGGGTGAGCTCCCGTTGCTTGGTCCCAGCTCCTGCCAACCTAGCAGTTTGAAAGCACGTCAAAGTGCAAGTAGATAAATAGGTACCATTCCAGCGGGAAGGTAAATGGCGTTTCTGTGTGCTGCTCTGGTTCGCCAGAAGCGGCTTAGTCATGCTGGCTGCATGACCTGGAAGCTGTACGCCGGCTCCCTTGGCCAGTAAAGCGAGATGAGCGCCACAACCCCAGAGTCGGCCACAACTGGACCTAATGGTCAGGGGTCCCTATACCTTTTTAAGGTGCTACTGGAAGGAATTTTTTTATTTTGTTTCGACTACAGCAGACCAACAAGGCTACCTGCCTGCATCAGGAAGATTTGGGGCACCACATGGTAGGATAGAGTCTCAAAGAAAGATGTGCTCTCCTGAGCCCACATTCCCAGTATGTTCTCACTTCTGTCTCAGCAATGTCTATCCTGGCTGGGTCATGTCCACAGAATAGAAGATGGCAGGATCCTGAAGGATGTGCTCTATGGGGAGCTGGCTTCATGCACCAGGCCCGTTGGCAGATCAACTCAGTGTTACAAAGATGTCTGCAAATGTGACATGAAGGCTGGCAACGTTCACCTTGCCATGTGGGAATCCCTTGCAGACAACTGTAGTTCCTGGAGACAGCCAACTAAGGTTATTGGCAGAATTGAGAAGGCATCTACTGAATCCTCAAACTTGCCTTTAGCAATAGAAGGTTGCCACACTTTAGTTTGAAGGAGTGGCTTTAAGAAGGTGTAGTTTGAGGAAATGGAGGAGCCCAAGGGCCCCCAGAAACCAAGAGCTGGCCACAAATTTTGTGTAAAGCAAATTTGACATGTGGGTTCATATTTTGTAAATAATTAACTTGGGGAGGGTCATGTAGAAAATCCTAGGTACAATCCCTGACGTTGCCAGTTAGAGTTGGGGATGAATCCTGCCTGAAACCCCAGAGAGCCACTGCCTTTTAGTGTCAATTACAGTTGTGCCTTTGTTTTCGAACAGCTTAGTTCATGAACAACATGGAATTTGAACACCGCAAACCTGGAAGGAGGTGTTCCAGTTTGCAAATTTTGTCTCGGAAGCCGAACGTCCAGCACGGCTTCCACAGCTTCCATTTGGCTGCAGAAAGCTCCTGCAGCCAATTGGAAGCCGTGCCTTGGTTTCCAAACATTTCTGAATGCATTCTGTTAGAAAACCAAGGTATGACTGTATACTGAATTAGACAGGCCAGGAAGGTCCTGCCTTGGGACTTTATGTTTTTTTTTTTTTAATCATATTTATTAAAGTTTCCAATTAAAACAGAAAAGATAGAAAAAATAGAAAAAGAAAAAGAAAGAAAAAAGACCCATTTTTTAAACCCTTATTTTCATAACCTTCTTTCTAGAACTCCCTCCTTCCCCCCCCGGTTGTATTCCCCTTTCCTTACATTGGTTCCACAAGTTCTCCTTCCCAATTTAAACCTAATATGTTATGCCTAATAGCCAATTTAAATTACAATCTTAACATCACCCTCATTTTTAACAAAATAAAACAAAAAATTTTCCCCCAAAATCACCCCGTTTCCTTCCACGAATTCCCTCTTTTTCCCCCAAAACATGTTAAATCAAGATACCAAAATTATTAAAAGAAAGATAAGAAATAGAATATAGAAGAAGATTCCAAAAGTTGGTTACATAGCCTTTGGATTCTAAAATTCCCCCTCCCTTCCCCGGTTTAGATTCCCCATGTCCATCAGTCTGTATGTTATCGGCCTGGAGGTCTCAAGTCCACAGCCAAATTTCTCAGTCCATCTTGCCGGTTTTCTTTAAATTTGCTTGTCTTGATAGTGTTTAATTTCAAAGTTCCAGTCTAATCGAGGCCTTTAATTTGGTCATTGTTGCTCCTCCCGTTGTTCTTTCCATGGCGTAGTTGGTCCTATACTCTTTTGTTTCTTACTTCCTCAGGTTTCTGTCTTGTTCAGCTGCAAAACCATTCTTATTCTGAAATCTAGTATCTCTACAGAGGTTTGTTATTCAGGAACAAAGACTTACGTCCAGTTCCTAGCTTGCTTCAATAGAAAATTCTATTGTGTTGTCACCTCTGTAGACAAAACAAAATTTCAGCTTTGCTACTTTCCCATGAGCTAAGACCAATACACATCCCAGGGTAGTTTTCCACATACGCCCTTGTAGTGTCCCCAAGCCCCTCTAGGGGGATTGCAATAACTTTGTGTCCTCTCATCCAAAAGTCAAATTGTTGTTTCTTTCTCCGCCCGACATTTTGTATCCATATTTATATCCAATTGTATCCAAATTGACCAGCAAAATACTTGTAACAAAGTCCTCTTTGTATTCTCAAAATTTGACAGCTACTTTGACAGCTGTCAAACTCTCCATCTCTCTCCGCCGGTTTCTACGAATCGCCCCGGTTCCCAGGGGGGGGGTTGCCTTTTCCCTCTCACCCTCGACTTTTCTCCTCCAGCACAAATTCTTGTGATGATCCCATCGTGGAATTTGACATTTTTAATCAGCGATAAACTTCTGAATTGATCTTGGTTTCTCAGTCCATGTTTTAGCGTTTACAATCCGGGAGGGGACTGACTTCCTTTTTAGATCCCCCCCCGCTCGTGCCAAATCCGAAAAAAAAAATTTCTCCTTTTGTACCCGGTTGCCCAATTACTCACGGGTTGTTGTTAAATGTCCAAATTTCAATTGGAAGAAGCCGGCGCTCTCCGTCGAATGGCATGCGGCTTCGCTCGGCAGGGATAGCGGAGGACTCAAAGCACCACGCTTCTCCCCGGCACCCGATCCGTAGCCTTTAAAAAGGCTCCTTCACGAGTCGGGAGGGCGCTGACGGTGCCAGCCGAGTCTCCATGTCCACGGCCTCCGTGGCCGTGGTTTTTAAGGGTCCCCGCATCGCCGATGCGGTAGGACCCAGCCCCTGCCGAGCAGGCTCCCTCCGGAGCTCGGAGGGAGTCCGCCATTCGGCGATGGCGCCAACCCGGAAGTGCTGCCTTGGGACTTTATGTTGAAGGGTGGGTAAGAAATTGAATTCATGATGTTGGCAGTGATAGCTGGTGTCTGGTGGACCTGGCAGTGGGGGCTCGTGGGTCACAGGGATGTGGTCAGTTCTGGTTTTCTCCCTTGCAGAGTTGCTGTAAACATAAAAATAATGTAAACATTATAAAAATAAACACCTTGCCAGAGTTTCACGTGTGGATTCTTGTCAAAGAAGCCCTATATTACTCAGAAGTAAGCCCTGCTGAATTCAGTGAGGCTTGTTCCCTAACAAGGGAAACAGGTAAAAGGTGGATCCAGGTTATTTTAAACGGATCCTCGTGAATTCATATGATTTTTTCATTCAAATTAAATAAAACTGCCATGATACTGTAGGTCATGTCTTAGTCTGTGGGCAGCATTAAAAAAAATATGCATCCACTGTTTAGGGAAGTTTTTAATGTTTGAAGTTTTATTCTGTTTTTTGTGTTTTGCTGGGGAAACCCAACCAGATGGGTGGGGTATAAATAATAAAATTATTGTTATTAATACTATTACTATTCCTGCTGGAAGAGTTCATCACAGGTGGGATAACCGCAGAGGCCCCCTTGGTATCGGGAGCCTGAACAAGAACAGACAAAGCCTACCAGAACTGTGCTCACAGCCTCTGCATCACGAACATGGTATGCTCTACCAAGGCAAAACACTCAGTGTCCTGGAGACATCTTAGATCTCAGGTCACTGGCACCAGCTGGACTGAATTATCACCAGGCGATTGCACTGAACTGTGTTAATGCCACACAGAGCTACCACAGCAGTGGTCACTCCCTGGTGGTAAGCAAAGAGGACCTGTAGCCAATCTAAGGTTCTGCACTTTGGCAGGAAGAACCAACTGCACCAATAGAAGATGAGGGATACCTGGTTTGCTGGTAGGGAAAAGGATCTAGGGATCTTAGTGGACCACAAGCTTAACATGAGTCAAGCTGAGAGTTATGCAGCAGCACAAAATGCCAATACTATTTTAGGGTGCAACAACAAAAGTGCCCAGGATACAATGAACACAATGAAATTCAAAACAATAACAATTTATTGAGCATTTATTCACAATCCATTAAAAATATTTATTTTTATTCCATTCTCTTCCAGTTCTTTTTCTTCTTGACACGTGGAGTTACACAGGGAGTAGATCATATATCCTAAGGAACGGAAAAACCCAAAATTCCGTGAGATCTTTTGAGGCAAAATAATGTTAACAATTTTCGGATCTCTGTCCCCTGCCCTGTCCTGTCTTTTGTCAAAACAAAGGTGTCAACCCTGTGCCAAGGCAGCAAGACACCCCCCCCTCGGCCTCCCTGAGGTGGTCCAGAGGAAAGAAGAGCAAGGCACAAGGCACCAGCTGGGCTGCAGGAGTTGCCAGAAGGAGGCCTGCAAAATGCCACCCAACCATCTTAGGGACTCCACTCTGCATCTGTGTAGGGTTTACACGTGAGCCTTTTCTTCTCCCAAAGCCATCCCACGAGGCAGCGGAGGTTTAGAATCAGAGTTCTCCCCGATGGGCTCCTCCCTTCCGGGGGGATGAGCCCCATCGGCCCCTCACTTCCCTCTACGGCACGTGCACAAACAGCTCCCTCTGGATCTCGTCCGCTCCATCTGCCGGAGCCTGTCTTCAGACACAGGGGAAAGTCCCTCACTC